GAGGCTCATCCACACCTGGCAGCCCTGCTCCTGCCACCCGGTCACCCCGCCGGCCCTGCCGCCTCCTCCTCCCCCCAACCCTCCCAGCCACCCGGCCGGTTCCAGGGCCACCTCTGCCCCAGGGGGTCAGAACTGCGGCCGCTTCAGGACGGTGGCTCCTGCTGAGACGCGAGGCCCTCAGCACAGAGCCCAGACCACGGCGGCAGCTCTGGGCCTGTCACTGCGCGCGTGTGAGTGAGCCTGTGGGGGAGCGTGTGTGTGTGTCTGGGTGCACGTTTGTGTCTCTGTACATATACGGATGTGCGTGCACACGTGTATCTCTGTGTCTGCATGCACACATGCGTGTCTTGTATATTTACCCACGTGTGGTATGTCTCTGAGTGCACATATATGTACTGTGAGTCTGGGTACGTATATGTATGCGCGTGTCTGTGCATGTGTGCAGGGGAGTGTGTTCCTGTACACACACGGATGTGCGTGCCCACGTATAGAATACAGGTGTGTGTGCATGTCTGTGTGTGGATGCGTATGTGTGTCTGCAAGTATGTGCATGAGGGTGAGTGTGTGTGTTTCCACGTCTCTCTGCCTCCACGAGTGTGTGTGTGTATGTGCACGTGTCTGTGGCAGTGTGTATCCGTGTCTGTACGTGTATACGTGTGGGGGGGAGAGTGTGTGTGTGTGTGCGCGCGTGTGCCTGGCTCCCCGGGTCTGTGGGACCAAGGCTCACAGACGGGACCAGGGAGGACGGGACGGGTGCAGACGGGGAGCTGGCGGCCCCCTCGCCCCGTCCCTGCACTGGTGCTCACTGCGCCGGCTGCTAGCGACACAGCGAAGGGACAGGGAGTCCCCGCCCTCAGGGGACGTCACGGCCCCTTTCACAGTGAGGCTCAGGGAGGCGGCGGCCTGGCCGAGCCCACCCTGCCGGCCCGGGTGGGACCAGGGCCACCGGCCTCAGGCCCACGCACGTCACCTCCGGGGCAGACGGCCCCCCACCCACCGCCTCTCCCAGGAGCAGGCAATGGTGGCCCCGGTCCTCCGTGTCTCGGTGTCCCCGTCTGTGCAATGGGGACACTGAGTGTGCACCTCATGGGTGCTGAGAGCGTCCGTCCCCGAGAAGTGGCAGCACCGTGGCTGTCACTCGGGACCATTGCTGCCATGGCCGGGGGCCGCGATCCCCGTGCTGGGACGATGGTCCTTGGCTGTCCCTGCGCTCCACTCACACCAGTGACTTGGCACAGTCTCCCCCGGGTGTGCCTGTGTCCAGAGCCCTCAATCCTGGGGCCAGGAGGATGTTCTGAGGCCCCAAGGCCTGTCCCCGAGGCTGCCACGGGCCGATAGCGACAGGAAACGGGCCGGCCTTGCGTGGCCCTCCCGATAACCCCGCTGCGCCCGCACCCCTCCCGGCCGAGCCTTATCAGCCGTGGCAAACGCCTCCCCTGCGCCCAGCCCCTCGCTGACCTCCTGACCCCACGGCGTTTGCAAACCAAGATGGGCCTCGGGCAGGCGGGGCGGGGCCCTGGGGAGAAAAGCCCACCCCTGCCCGGCAGGTTGCCACCAGACTTGACCCGGGAACCCAGACCCTTCCCTGCGCAGAGGCCAGGGTCCTGGACCACAGAGAGGGCGATGTCTAAATCCCAAAGCCAATGTGACCCGAAAATGCCTGAGGAGGCCCCTTGCAGACCCCTGGGGACAGCGCAGGGAAGGTGGTCCCAGGTCCACTCTCAGAGTGACCCCACCTGCGAGCCTCAGTTTCCCCGCTGTGCCTACACAGCACTAGCTGTGGGGGACACAGCAGGGAAAAGGCACACAGCCCCTGCCCTCCTGGAGTCAGTGTTCCATGGGGGCGGGATGGGGCATGAGAACACAGACGAAGGGGGATGTGGTTCTGCTGCCTGAGACCAGGGTCAGAGGAGGCTTCTGGGACAAAGAAGGTTCTGAGCTGAGAGCTGAAGGAGGAGTTCAGCTGGGAAAAGCTAGAGGCTTCAACAGCAAGTGCAAAGGCCCTGGGGTGGGCTGTGCCCAGCGTGTCCCAGGAACAGTGAGGAGGCAAGTGTGGGCAGGGGGCAACCAGGCCAGGGCCTCCTAGGCCACAGTGACAGCTTTGGCTTTTCCTTCGAGGACGACAGGGAGCCATGGAGGGAGATGTGACCCGACTTATGTTGAACAGGACCCGTCTGGCTGTGTGTGGAGCACGGACTACAGGAGGACGAGGGACCACTGCAAGGGTCCAGGAGAGAGGGGTGGTGCCTGGACTGTGGTTGGGAGCAGAGAAGGGGGTGAGGAGGGGGCAGATCCCAAACTGGCTTAGCAGGCAGAAACTTCCGGACCTGCCAAGTTGGACGTGAGGGTGAGGGAGAGTTCAGAGTGAGTCTGGCTTGGCCACCTGGGAGGCGAGCAAGGGAGGTGGGGACAGACTGCATGTGTGACTGGCCGAGCCCTGCTCTGTAGGTCAGGGGCGGACCAGGCAGCAGCCTGGAGGGCGACGGCCCAAAGGAGGCCAAACCCACGGCCCCCAAGCCTTCGCTCCACTGGCCTCCTCCCCAGGAGCCCACTCCACCCTTCCCCCAGGTCACCAGGGCCCTTCCGCCCCACACGGCCCCTCTGCCACTCTGTGCCTCCTCCCCCTATGGCGTCCTCACCTCCCCGGGTTGGGGCTCCCCCGACGGCCTGGACCCCACTGTGCTGAGCTCGCTGGGTGGTGTCTGTGTACTGCTGCTATCCCTCCCCAGAGTCGCTCACAGCAGGACTGTCCTTGGGGTCTCTGCTGTCTCCCCGACTCCAGCCCTGTCACCTCCCTAAGCCCATCTCCTCCCCGTTTTCCCCTCACTGCCCCTTCTCCAGCCATACCTGCCTTTTTATGCCATGCACCCTGCCCCAGGGCCTTTGCACCTGCTGTTCCCTCTGCCTGAACCCATTCTCCATCACCCTGTAGTATTTCTCTCACAGTGCTGACCAGTATCTGAAATTACCCCCTCCACACGTTGTCTTCCGCACTAGGTTCTAAGCCCCAGTGGGCAGGACGATGTCTGTTTGTCGATGACTACCCCCAGTGCTTTGCATGTGACCCAGCACACATTTCTTGGAATGAATGAATGAGTGAGCAATTGGAGGAACGAGTGAGTTAATATCCTCTCCAGCCCTAACACCTCCGTGAGGCTCCCGTGAAGTCCCCAGTGCTGAGTGGTGGCTCCAGCTGTGTTCTGGGAGGTACGGGGACTGTCCCCAGGTTGGGGCCTCTCAGCCCCAGACGAGACCTCCCTTCCTAAGTGACCGTGCACCCCGCCTGGTGCCAGCACCCCAGGGACAGCCGGCAGGGACACCTGCAGCTCTGCCCTCTCGGCAGCCCTTACTCAGCCTCCTCCAGCAGCACCCACTTTCTCTGGGGGAGCTGCCCCCCATTCCACGGGGTCCTGGGGGAGCCGCCAATCACACCACCACACCCCGCCCCTGGCCACTGCTCCCAGGGCCCTGCGCTGAGCACGTGCTCCGTGCTGAGCCAGTCCGTGCTCCCGGATTCAGAGCAGACAGCCAGGTGGGGAAGCACCCAGGGGTGGGGCATCGTTCCCTCCCTCCTCCAGGGGTGGTCGTGGGGGCACTCACGGAACAGCTGTCGATTAAAACCCCGGCTCCCGAGCCAGAAGCGCCCTCGGCGTGAGTGACATGAGCGTGACCCTGCAGGAGGGACGCGTCCGCCGTCACCGTGGGGGGCCGAAGGCGCCCACTTCAAGATCAAGATTACTGACTAATTTTTTCTTTAAAGAAAACAAGTTTTATTTTTATAATCAGAACATTCTAATAAAAATATTATTATAACATTAGCTACCTTCATTTTCTGGGCCTTGACTCTGTGCCAGGCGTGCCGCGAAGCGCTCGCCCATGTCGGGCAGCCCCTGAGGCTCCCACTTCCCTGAGGTAGGTCTGAAGGAATACCCCCAGCGCCCCCCACCTTCCGGACCACCCTTCCCGACTTCCCTCTGCCCGTCCCCTTGGCCAGGCCACCCCCGCATCACCCTCTTCCCCCATCTCCTCCAAGGCAGGGCCGGGGCCTCCTGGAGACTCCCCAGCCCCCAACGCCCCCTCCAGGAGCACCCTCGCCTCACCTCTCGACCGAGCCCCCAAGGCGGGTGGGACGCGGGGTGGTATACAGCAGGCGACACTAAGAGGATGAGCCGCACACCTTGCACTTGAACCTCCCCCCAGCTGGCCGGGGTGCTGCGGTCCAGCCCCTCGGCCGGCAGCCAATCGGGCTCCACTCCCTCCTGCCCTCCGAGGCGCTGGGTGGCAGTGAGAGGGGAGGGGAGGGGACAAGCTTCAGAGACAACTTACTGTCGCCGGGCGAGACTTCTCGCCCGGAGACGCCCACTCTCCGGCAGTGCTCGGCACTCAGCCCGCAGACGCTGGAAAATACAGAAATACTGTCACTGTCTCCTGGGGCGGAGCCGTCGATGAAAGCGAGTCTCTCCAAGTCCAAAGTAGGTCTGGGATTCTTGGTGGCGGGGTCCTCCGCGGAAAAAACAGACTGAAATCCTGAAATCAGCTTAGTAGCAAAACGACGAGGGTCAGAAAAGGGCTGCGGGGCTTCCAGGGGAGGGAGGGACATGGCCGGCTCCGGCCCGCCGCCCTGGAGCCGGGCCTGCGGCCGCCCGCGGGCCACATGTAGGAAGCGAGGACCCGGAGGTGGGGTCCCCGCACGCCTCCCCGCGGGCCACAGCTGTGCGGGGAGCTGCAATCAACAGCCATTCACGCGGCTCCCGCAGGTCTCCCCCGAGTAAGGCATCCTGGAGCGGGGCGGCTCTGCTCGGCCTGCTGGGCGGCGGGGGTCTGTGGCGGTGGCGACGGCCCCGCCGGAGGCCGCGGGGACGGGCAGGGAAGCAGCAGGCAGAGGCTGGCGCGTGTGCGGGCCTGCGCCGCGTCCTCAGCTGGCTCTCGGTCGTTTTTTTTCCTGAGTCCTCCCTTGAGACGTGATGGGTCCCGGATTGGGGCCGCGGCCTCCAGGCCGTCCCGGGGCGCAGCCCTCACTGCATCCGGTCGGGCTGCAGCTGCGGGGGCTGGTACTGCACGAAGGCGGGGGCCGCGGGCGCAGCGGCCGAGAGGGCCTGGGGCACGGCGGCCGGGTAGCCGTAGCCCACGAAGCTGGCGGCCGTGGCGGGCGAGGCGGCGTACGGGTACTGGTCGTAGGCGGCCGGCGGGTACTGCGCGTAGGCCGGGCTGGCCGGCGTGTACTCGATGTAGGGCGACGACAGCGGCGGGACCGGGGCGGCCGGGATCACCACGCTGGGCTGGACGATGGCTTGCGGGTAGATGTAGTGGGGGGTCAGCCTGCGGGCCAAGCAGAGGGGCAGGGTCAGGCGGCAGAGCGGGGACACACACACGGCTGGCTCCGGGCGGAGCGGAGGAGCCGGGGGAGCCGGGGACGCTGGGCCGCCCCGCCCCCATTTCCTCATCTGTAAAATGGGGGCGACAACAGGGGTGCTCCTTGAACACACCAGACGTGTTCCCATGCGGCCTCTGCTCCGCCGGGCGCCACCTGCAGCGCACTCTCCCCCTACCCCCTCCCCCCCCAAGTCTGTCCTCAAAAGTCTCCTCTCCGTGAGCCCGCCCCACCCCCCCAACCCCCACGGGACCGGCTACAGGATTTGGGGGCGCACTTTGAAAATGACTAAGAATTTCAAGGCAGCGACAGGAGAGCATCACGCCCAGCGTGGGCCCTTCTGGCAGGGTCCCCATGTGACTGCCCAGGTCGCACGTCATCCGTGAGGCCGTCCTGCCCCCCACGTCCCTGCTCATCATCCCAACATCTGCCACCCACCACGTGACACCCCACACAGTTTCTTATTTAGCGTCTGTCTCCCCCGACCAGAGCGTCGGCTCCGCACGGAGCTCAGTCCCCCCACCGACAGCCCGGAGCCCGGCGCAGTCGGCGCTCCACGACTATTAATACGCGAACGAGGGGACACAGGAGTGACGATGGTGACGGAGACGAAGATGACGGTGAGAGCCGGGGAGCACGGCCGGCCGCCGCCTTCCGGGCCTGCGTTGCGAGACAGACGCCGTCGGCGCCGTGCCTGGTCGGACCCCCCGGCCGGCCTCCACACCGTGGGCACATTCCACAACAGAACAATGGGGCTCGGGGTAAGTGCCGTCCCCAAGTTCCCACAGCGATGAGGCGGGGGGCTGGGACCCCCAGACCCCCTGAGTCCCAACGCGGGACCCCCCCGGCACACAGACTAATGTGCAAAACCGCTGCCGAGGCGCCGCTTACGGCACGCCTGCTGCGGGCACCGTGCATGCAGCACGCCCGGCCCTCCGGGTCGGGGATGAACCCCCGCATGCCGCAGATGGGGAAACCGAGGCTCAGGAAGGCAGTACTAGTGTGCATCTGCTCTGCCAACCAGCTGCTGGGCAGCGCTGGGCAAGTGGCTGAGCCTCTCTGAGCCTCACAGCACGTCTGCAACAGCAGCGCCCACGGCCCGGAGACGCTGGGCAGTGCCGGGCACAGAGCGACCTCATCGGGGTAGACACCACGTCCCTCAGCATCAGCATCTCCTCCTCCCCCCGTTCCCACACTGGCACGAGTTACAGAGAACAGGGTGCCCTGGGGGCATCATGGAACCCCAGTTTCCTGCTGCATCTAGAAGATGGGCCCAGGATCCAGGCCCCGCCCCTGCTCCAAAGAGAAGCTGCTTCGAAAAGAAAAAGGAAGACATTCCCCCCAGGCTCTCACACCCTTGGCAGGGGCAGGAACAGGGCAGCTTTGGGGGAGTAACTGGGCAGCAAGCAGACCCCTGAAAGCATGTGCTCCCGTCCCCCAGCCAGGCCCCCTCAACAGGCAGGAGGAGCCCTCACCTGCGACAGAGACAGACGTGCTCAGCGGACCACAGCAGCACCTACACGAGCGGCGAAAAACCAGACAGCCCGAATGTCACCCACAGAGGACAGGGCAGTATCCGACGTCCCTCCAGACCACCCCGCACGCGGCAGCGAGAGGAGACCTGAGCTCAGCCCCACGCCCCTGCCCTCCGCACCATCAGCAGCGAAAAGCAAGCAGCAGGACAGAGATGCTGTTTATGCAAACCTGTGATATTTATGGTAAATGGTGATACTGCTTATGCTAAAAAAACCAAATGTGTATTTATACCCACGCTAAGGATGGGTGAGGCCGAATAGCACAGAACTGCCATTTTTACGGGTCCCAGAGTCGACTGACGGCAACTTCGTGTGGTGCAACGTTTTGAAAGCACAGAAAAGGCTGAGGGAGGCCATGGGAGCATGACACGTGGGTTTGACCATCTTTACCAGGCAAATGGATTCATGTGCACAATCAGGAGGGAGGAGCTCTATTTCCAACAGCCAAGAAGTTGAAACAACCCAAGCGTCCCTCCAGTGATGATGGATAAACAAACTGGCATACCCATGCCATGGAATATTACTCAGCCATAAAAAGGAATGAGGCTCTGATGTCTGCTACAACGTGGATGAACCTTGAGGACCTTATGCTGAATGAAGGAAGCCAGACACAGAAGGCCACGTACTCCATGATCCCACTGATACGACATGTCCACAGGAGGCAAATCCAGAGAGCGAGCAAGTGCTTAACCTGCCAGGCGCTTCTGGAAGGGGAAGGGGAGTGAGTGCTTATGGGTCGCCTTCTGGGGTGATGAAAGGTTCTGAACTAGACAGGGGTGATGGCTGCACAACTTTATGAACACACCTAATGCCTTAAAACGGTTATGTTTTAGGTTACGGGTACTTCGCCATAATAAAGGCGTATACATAAGGAACACGTTCTGAGCCAGGAGGGAACCACCCGGCCAGGGCAGAGGTGGGCGGATGACGGCGCCGGGGCCCCGGGGTTTGGCACAAACACCTGGGGGTGGGAGTCTGGGGCACACCTGGCCGCGTGCCCAAGGGATCACAGCTCCCCTGACTGCGTCACCCTCACCTCAGCCGCTGGCTCTCCTAGACCACAGCGCCCAGCAGTTGCCATGACAACACACCCCTGCTGGTGACAGGCAGCGCCTCCCGACACCTACACGGTTGACCTTTCGCTGTGTTTGTCAGGAGGTCCAGGCGGCTTCCGCCAGGAACCCCACGCCCTGGCTCAGGGCCACAGCGCCCGTGCTCCCTCTCCCGCTCCGCGAGCCTCTGCTGCCCACCCGCCCCCTCCTCACCAGGGGGACAACAGCCTTGAACAGCGCCGGCATCTGTACTGAGACAGCCGTCTCACGTCCGCGGGTGTGCTCAGGGCCAGGAGCTGCAGGGCCCCAAGCCTCGCGGAGCCTGGATTTCTGGAGGGGAACAGGCACCCAAACACACCAACTCGTGAGCCAGAGCCAGGACTCCTGTGAGGGGCGGGGGGTGTCAGGGGAGGCTTCCCGGAGGAGGCGGCAACTTCACGGAGCCCGAGCTCCCGGCCCGTCTCCCGTGGGTCTCACGTGAGTGGGGAGGGCTCTGCTCTGACGCCCAGCGCCTCGCCCAGGGCCGGGCTGTAGAAAGTGCTGTGCACCCTGCTGACAGAACACGGTCCCCTGGGCACAGGCCCCTCTGGGAAAGACGAGGGCCTCCTGGCTGGGAAGGGAGTGAGGAAACCTGAGGAAGCCGGCCTGGGTGCCGTGCCCACCATGCCGCCGTCCCTGGCACCACCAGCGCCCCCGCCACGTGAGCTCCTGGAACCTCAGAACATTCCTCAGTTGGAGGCCACGGAAGCTTTGAGCCCAGAACTTCTCCAAACGTGGGCAGGGGCGCCCCTGCCTCAGACAGCCCCGAAGCATCTGCTAACAGCGTGGATCCCCACAGACCGCCTCCGGGGATCCTGACACACTCCTGCGCTCGAGAGCCCCAGCTGCGCCCAGAGCCTCCCGCCGTCCACACAGCACACTCGGACTTCAAAACTCACAGGCTTCAGGCCACACCTGCCTCACGGCCCCGGCGGCCGAGGCAGCTGTCAACCTTTACCGGGTTTCCGACGTTGCCAGGACCAGGGCTCTGCCCCGGCCCCCACGGAGCCGCCCTGCGGGGGACCTCGGACCCGGTGAGGGCAGATACTCTTTGGGCTGGGGAGGAAGGGGACTCCCCTGTTCCCCGACTGTGAGGACACGGTGTCTGCGTCTATTCACCTGCTACCTCTGAGGGCTCTGCCCCCCACCCTGCAGGTGAGAAGCCAGAAAGAACTTACGAAGCTTTTCACGGCCACAAAGTAGGTACTGTTGTTACCCCGCTTCCCGGAAAGAGAAACTGAGGCTCAGAGAGGCCCAGGTGCCTTGGGCAGTCACACAGCCAGGGAGTGGCAGAGCAGTCTCCCCCGGCCACACGCCGCCCGGCACCCCTGCCCACAGGACTGGCTGCAGGCTGGGGCCTGCGAGCCGGGCCCACCTCAGGGGCCGGCTTGGGCCCCCAGGAGGCCGCCCAGGTGGGAGAGCGGCCCCAGTCCAAGAGCTGGCCGCCCCCGGGGGTTCTGCCCCCGCCACGGAGCTCAGCGTGTCCACAGAGACGGGCCCCCAGACGGCGTGCACCCCAGACTCGGACCAGAAGGGAAGGAAGGCACTGGGGGCGGTGAGGCCCGGGGACAAATGAGAGCGCCGGCGAGTGCAAGGGAAGGAGGAGGCAGAGCCCCACCAGGCAGGCCCCCC